ACTACAAACTGCTTTGTTACTTTTATGAGGAAAACTCAGCTACTATACATTTGAAGAAAAATCAGATAGGTATGAAGTAATCGAAGCAGGGGCATAACTAGATACCGACAATAAAATGAACTTAACAAGCTGCAGCATGGAGGGACAACACTCGGCATCAAATTCCTGGCGTGCACGGAACTGAAAAGATGTCAAGCCCTCCAATATAAAAGGCTCGTGCGAGGGGCCGGGGCAATGGCGTTTTGGAAACTGATGACGCTTGGACGAAAGTCTATTGATGATCAAACCATGGAGCTACAACACCTTGGTCAAAAAATCCCTGTTCAATGTTGCCATGCAAGCACAAATGGAAACAACTCCATACAAGCGATAGAAAGGAACTTCACCTTAACATGTGCTGACCATCTGGTGTTTTCGTGAGAAATTTCGAAAAACACGTGGTTCTTTGTAACTGTACTGGTGCTATTGTTGACTGTTTTGCAAATAGTAACTGCTGCGAAACCATGGAAAATGCTAAACCCGAAGTAAGGTTCGTTGTCCCGATTTTTTCTCCGTAACGTGGGGGCAAATGCGCTCCCAAACCACTTGATAGATTGAAGGGAACGGGCGCACTCATTAGAGCGACTAGAGCGAATTACAGAAAAACTCCAAAATGTTTTTGAGAGTAGCAACCTTGCGAGTACAAGAGTACTCAAGGAAAGTACTTAACCGTTCAAACATGACATATGAAATAGCGCATACCATGGGTATACATTTATCGTAATAAAAATGGCCATAAAAACCCCAGCAAATCAAAATCATCCGGATGAACAGGTAAAAGGCGAAAATCTAATGTCAAATCCGACCGTATTAAAGTGCATCCCAGCTTATCGAAACTAGAAATCCGAGTTATGCATCATCAAACTCGTGTAAATGACGGCAGTGATAGATGGGTCAACGAAGCCGTTCACTGAACTAGTGGTATTGGGGACAAATTAAGAATCAACCGAAATCAGTTGCGTAGGTACCTGTACCAGACCCACCGGTGAACAACGTGAAATTGGGAAGGGCTCAGACAAAAACGGACCGGCCACATGACCCAAGTCAATCTCACAATTGATGTTGCAATGTAAAATGGCTGGATGTTCACGAGCAGACTGAGAATTACGCGCAGAAGAACTAACCCTTGGTCCGGAAAAATCTAGTTGAACATCATATAAAAACCTTCCTTCAAACCGTGTGTACATTGAAACTATGGTAATGGAAAAACACGCAGAAAATTGGAGCATTCGAATTAGTACGATCGCGCTCTGCTGGGACGAAAATTAGGCTGTTGTAATTTTCGGCATCGATGGTAGCCCCAGAGCGGGACGGCAAACGCGCCTGCTGCAGGCGCAACTGAATATCATAATCTCGCCAGGCATAGCCAACACGTCAACTTGATGCGGCAGAGCGGATGGTTTTTGCCTATAACAGCAAATGACGAGCATGCGAAAAGGGGTGTTGCCACAAATAAACCGAAGCAAAAAACTAGAAAGGCAGATGTCAACTACTCGATTGATGTTAAACGGGGAGTTTGCTTATAATGAGGACAAATCAGCCAAGCCGGCGACTCAAAGTAAAACAGTAATACTCAAAGAATCATCAGTAAACTCGAACCATGAAAATGAAGTGACTGCAAAAGTGCGCCGAACCCTACACACTCCCTTTGCCAAATTATTTCCTGCAAATTAAGGAAGACTCCACACCGCAAATCATCACATACACTAGTTAAAGTGGCATCAATGGCAAAAGAGGAAAGAAGCAGTTGAATCAGTTATGTAGCGGCCGAAGTTACGAGCAATGGGAACTTGTAACCCGTGCACGATTCAGGAGTAAGTTCGACATGAATGGACTTACCGCAACACCAAAGTCGTCATATAGACGAGTTCCCTCCAGGCCGACCGAAGCATGGTGAATGGCGCAGCTAGCAGACGGTCAATAAGGATGCCGCTCCCCAGTCCCACGGTATACAAAGGGACCGCGGAACTTGCGACGTCCGTCGACTACGCGTCGTTTCCCGTGTCCCACCTGATGAACTCCCCCGTCAACCGGTGGCTGGGACTGGACCCTGCCGGGCAGACGATCGAGGCTGTCGCCGCCTTCACTTCACCCTATCGTGACCGGCCAAGAGGCAGCTTGCCCAACAAAAATATCAACTGGAATTTTTTCAGCAAGACAAAACTTTCTTGCCGGACCTAACTGCGTGGCTGCTCAAGGTTGCCTTTTTGAATTTGACAAAGCTGATTTCTTGTTTAAATAATTGACATGATTTCTCTGCTGAGAAACCAGGGTTTTTTTTACTTGGCTTTTCAAACTTGATAAGCAAAGAGTTATTAAAAACCTAGTGTTTCAAGCAAGAAACAAAGCCAGATTTCTCAGTCTAGCCTAGAAACTTTTTTTTCTGATTTATTGTGCTTACTTGCCATAGTCTAAGCCAGGGGTAGTGCTAGAAGTTTTATATGCTTTTGCCAAAACCAACAATCATTATAGCTCATGTGTTTTTGATGTTCAGTCTATTAAAGTCTCCCCAACTCTCCTTTTCTGGCCATTGACAGGGTACTTGTGCACGGGGCCCATACAGTATACGTAGTAATTCATTTTTTTTAAAACACGTTTAAGGGTCCCTTTTAAAATTCAAAGTGCCACTATGAAAAGAAGTACATGGGCACTGCTGTAGAGTTTCTAAGAAATTCAAATATGGTACTCGAATGTGTCTTGTGATTTTTGAGATTTGTAACAGCATGGAAAACTTTTGTTGTGTATCTATTTTGCCTGAATGAACCACACAATTTATGTAAAGTAATGTTTGAATTTCTTAGAAAATGAGTAAACAAATTATCCTTCAAAAGTTCAATACTGACTTACTCAGTTACTGTACAAGTGTCACTGTAAAAAAAGGAGGTGGTACGGAATCAAGAAGCCAGTTTTCTTTTCTTTTAATAATCGAAAATGTCAAAAGAAATACACTTTTTGTTTGCAGAAAGTTCAAAAATGTTGGATGAAAATTGTACTTACAGGTGAACATTATTTAGAGAATTTCTGCTCAATTAATAAAACAGTGAAAGCACCGGAAAATATTAAGTAACATTGAAGTTACTAGTGAAATTATTTCATTTAGAGTGAAGTATAACATTTTACGAGGAGAAAAAACGAGGTTTGTAGGCTGTGCCTATGTGTATGTGAATTAAAAAAAAAATATTTGTCAGTTTATTTATACTTGTGTCCCTTTTTTTTCAAATTCAGAATCATCACAATTTTGAAAGCTATACGTACATGCCCAGTCTTCTGAGAGAAGAAAATTTAATTTATTTGTTTTGCTTAAATTGACGTATACTTGACCTACATGTACATGTACATTTTACACACCACTTAACAGGCCTGGAAAAAAGTTGACTTCCCTGCAAGATCAAATTTAACACCACTTGTACATGTATGTACATGTATTATGTAATTCATGCTTCATCGGCTTCCTGATTTTCCCAATTTTTCTCAGCTCTTCCAGAGCACTACATGGTAAAATGTGTAATTATTGCGTAAATAATGTAGACTATACCAACCCTAGTTTGGTGTACTGTACAAATGTAGAACCGTATGCAAAAATAAAAATAACCGTCAGTTTATCTTATGCAAAATTATTAAATGACATAAAAAAAAAACGACTTCCCAATTCCTCAGAAACAAAAACGAGAAACCCAGTTGTTTTTTTACTTGGCTTTTCAAACTTGATTAACGTGGTTTTCAATTCGAAAAAAAAATGAATTATAAAAAGAGCCTGATGATTCGAGGAAGAAACGAGGTAGAATAGAATATCAGCAGTCATATCTGGGTGGTGTTTCATTCAGCCAAAACAGAAAAGCTGTGTTTAGGGTAACCCGACCTGGATTTTTGGCGGCAAAAAACCTCAAACTTGTTATTGCCATTTTGCTGGTTGATAATTTTAAATACACACTGGTTTGAATTATTTGACATGACCATAATCATTCCCACATTTGAAACTGGACACAAATAAAACAAAATTATTTCCAATTCCCTACCTACACATGTATCTGCCTGGATTTTTTTAGCTGTTTCGGTGTACACACCGAAACAGCTCTTGTTTTCGTTAAGATTTTTTTTTTTTTTTTTCTTATTTTTCCACTTTTGTCATATGTTTTGTACACGTTTTTCTTCTACCCATACACTTCGGCATTTTCGTAAATGCCATCGACTTCAGACTTGGCACACACTTAGACCAACACCCACAGATGGTCCTAGAAGAAATTTGTGATCATGACGTCATCAGGTGTCGGGTTACGTGACTTTAAAGATGCATTTTTCCCCATATGTTTTGTACACGTTTTAAAACACTCCACTTTGGCACCTTCGTAAATCTGATCGACTTTAGACTCGGTACATACTTAGACCACCACCCACAGATGGTCCTAGAAGAAATTCGTGATCGTGACATCATCAGGTGTCAGGTTACTTCACATTAAAGATGTATTTTTATCACATAGGTTTTGTACACGTTTTAGAAAACACTCCACTTTAGCACCTCCGTAAATCTGATCAACTTCAGACTTGGTACACTCTTAGATCACCACCAACATATGGTCCTAGAAGAATTCGTGATGGTGACATCGTCAGGTGTCAGGTTACTTCACATTAAAGATATATTTTTTTCTCACATAGGTTTGTACACGTTTTTCTTTAAACATTAGACTTTGGCATTTTCATATATCTGATTGACTTTACGCCTACATTGTGAAACAAAACAGGCTCTTCGGATTTGATAAATATATGTAGCATGCAAGGTTTTTCTGCTAATTTTGAGAGGACTTCATTTCACTGGTGCATATATTTTATAACGGGCTTTAGAGGTTATGTGTCCATTCCTTTAGAGAAAGTCTGTGGTAGTGAAAAGCATTTAAATTTGCCAGGCAAGAGCTGAAGGAAACTTTTTGTGCTGTGAATGATACAAAGTAATAAAACATGAGAAGTACAATTCATTGAAATTCAATATTATTTATTTGCATTTCACTAAATCAAGAACAAATAACGCAAGGTTGGATGTACACAGCTATGGTTGAACAAATGTCTGACAGTATTCTTTGGTTGAAGGAAGCAAAATGAATTGTAATTTGAGATAATTATCTACACACTTTAGAGTACACAACACGAGTCAGCAAGTAAAAAACACTCCAACCTTTTCTATGAAAACTTTACATTAGAATTATTTTTCTTATCACAAAACTTATGAACATAAAGCACTTCTTTCACTGCATTTTTCCTGTTTTGGGCAATTGCATAAAATCCAACATACGTCTGACCACATGAAGTATATGTACAAGGTGATTAAGGTGGTGGTATGTTAGTCTGGTCAGCAATTGTTTTCTACCCATTAAAAGTGACGTATCACATAACACTTTTCCAACAGCAGGTCATAAAAGTGTCTGGCATGTCCAAATTTACGGAATTGCCCTCAAAGGGAATTTACATTTAAACCTTTACAACTGAACATCCTTATTCAAACTGAGTTTCTATTTAGTGTGACTGCAGATTTCAAGGATAATGTGCACATAACCATAATAGTCTTTAACTGCACAATATTTGATTAGAAATTAGTAGCCTTGAATAATCACATTGATTCAAGAGGTGGCTCACAATAATTGGGATAGTAGGACAAATTATATGTAGCCTTGACATCACAATCATAGAAGAGGTTGTTCACAGAAGTCAAGCTTGCATGGCAGATCGTCAGATACAATCAAGGCTTTGACATTTCAGTAAGCATATATATGAGGCCACATACATAAGTCAGGTTTTGTTGGCAGGTGATAAGTAGCCTCAGACATGACAGTGATGCAAAAGGTGGCTGACAGAACTCAGGCTTGGATGGCCAGTGATTAGCAGCCTCAGACATCACATAGAGTGGTGTAACAGGTGACCCAAAGAGCTTGGGCTTGGATGAGAGTTGATTAGTATTACAACAAAGTGTAGTCGGGCTTGGATGACAGGTGACTAGTAGCCTTCAACATCACAGAGGCACAAGCGGTGGCTGACACAACTCGGGCTTGAACGGCAGCCGATTAGTCCTACTTGACATCGCACTTAATGCTTAACAACACAAAATTAGAAAGAAAAGTGTGTAAATAGCAGTTGTATTAGTCTAAAAGAAACCGTCAGAGATATTAATGTCCAACATGTATTTATATAAGCCTCAGATATGCACTGCTATTGACCAGTTGAGAGCCCATTATTCGTGCCTGGGTCGTCTGATTTAGCCATTTAAATATCAGTCAGTAAGGATAAAGACTTGTTTAAAACTGCACACTGTAGCACATGCTCACAAAACAAAGTGCATGCACATGCCACTCAGCTTAGGAGAAGCATTGAATTGATCTTGTGTAAGGTAGAATGCTGAGCATGCAATGCAGAAGCACACTCTATAAGTAACCTGATCTGAAAATACAGTAAGCATATCAGTGACGATTTCAGCACTTTTTTTAAAAGGATTTTGATTACATTTTTTTTTATCTATACATGTAAATGTTGATAATAGTGTAACCAAGCAGTTATAAATGTGATTTGTAATATTGGTCTGAGTCCAGTTGTCGATAGTGACCCTTGATTCCTTTCTGTTCTGGTCATTATCAACAACCACGCTCTAACTAATTCTTACCATATTGTTTACAACTGCTTTTCAGCACACTTTTATCATCACTTTTCATTTGTGCCTAGTGCTCACACAATGTACATGAAACAATTAGGTTACAAAACAGTGCGAATGATAATGTATTTATATCTACACCTACCAGTAGAGTAGACTGTCGTTGATACAAACACTGTCACAGCAAACATAAAGCCTCGGTCCTATAATCATGCATTTACGTGCACAATGAATGAGACTGGCACTCACTTAATAAAAATTCTCTTGTAACAATCATTTTTTGCTATGTCTGGCTAAGTTTGTAGTAACAAGAATCAACCGTAATTGTATCTTACCTTTAAAAACTTGGAATGTGCAAATAGTTCCAACAGACAGCTTCAAACAAATGAGGCAGTCATCTCTTGAAGCTTCAGAGCGGTATAAGAGATGGCTTATAGTACTCAGGTTTGGTTGACAGGGAATAGTAGCCTCTGACATCAGTGATTCACGAGGTGACTCGCAGAATTCTGGCTTGGTTGGCGGGTGATGGAAGTGGCTGACATCAGTGATGGATTAGATCGCTCAGAGCACTCACACTTGGATGACAGGTGATAATTGGTCCTTGACATCAGTCATGCTATAATATGGGCCAAAGAATAGAAAATTGGAAAATTGAAGAATGCTATTGACGAGTTGACAGTGCATTGCTGGTGTGTGGGTGGTCTAAACCATCCACTGAAACATCATAGTCCGTTATGATGAAGACTTGTGTTTAAAACTGGCAATTGTGACACATGCCGACAAAACAATCCACATGCAACATGTGCCACTCACTGTTAAATTACTGAGGTGATCTTGTACGGTACATGTATAGGGTGGAATGCTGAGCACATCAAGTATGCAGTGTACCGAGTAGATGCACACATAATAAGTCGCCTGATCTGAAGATGCCGTAAACACATCACTGAAGATTTCAACACTTTTGCAGAGACTTTGATTAGAAAAATGTATTTATACATACATGTTTGTGTAAATGTTGATAATAGTGCAACCAAGCAGTTATTAATGGATGTTTCATATTGGTCGAGTCCGATTGTGGATAGTGACCCTCGATCCGCTTCTGTTCTGGTCATCATCAACAACCATGTTCTAACGCCTTTTAACCACTTGTTAGAGAACAGAAACAGAGATAAATGGCTGCTGCAAGTTGCATGGCTGTTAACTACCTTGTCAATCAAAAACAATTGAATAATAATTAATTTACCACTTACACCTACTTGTGTCTTACCTTTAAAACATTAAACCATGGGCGTCAATCGGTGGGGCATGGGGGTGACAAGCCCGCCCCCCCCCCCCAACTTTTCAAAGAGGGTGGATATCATATCAACTATTGATCAGTCTGGTTTACACGACTATTGATCCATCTGGTTTACACGACTATTGATCCATCTGGTTTACACGACTATTGATCCATCTGGTTTACACGACTATTGATCCATCTGGTTTACACGACTATTGATCCATCTGGTTTACACGACTATTGATCCGTCTGGTTTACACGACTATTGATCCATCTGGTTTACACGACTATTGATTCATCTGGTTTACACGACTATTGATCCATCTGGTTTACTCGACTATTGATTCATCTGCTTTATACGACTATTGATCCATCTGGTTTACACGACTATTGATCCATCTGGTTTACACGACTATTGATCCGTCTGGTTTACACGACTATTGATCCATCTGGTTTACACGACTATTGATCCATCTGGTTTACACGACTATTGATCCATCTGGTTTACTCGACTATTGATTCATCTGCTTTATACAACTATTGATCCGTCTGGTTTACACGACTATTGATCAGTCTGGTTACACGACTATTGATCCGTCTGCATTATACACGACTACTGATCTGTCTGGTTTACACGACTATTGATCCATCTGGTTTACACGACTATTGATCCATCTGGTTTACACGACTATTGATCCATCTGGTTTACACGACTATTGATCCGTCTGGTTTACACGACTATTGATCCGTCTGGTTTACACGACTATTGATCCGTCTGGTTTACACGACTATTGATTCATCTGGTTTACACGACTATTGATCCATCTGGTTTACTCGACTATTGATTCATCTGCTTTATACGACTATTGATCCGTCTGGTTTACACGACTATTGATTCATCTGGTTTACTCGACTATTGATTCGTCTGCTTTATACGACTATTGATCCATCTGGTTTACACGACTATTGATCCATCTGGTTTACACGACTATTGATCCATCTGGTTTACACGACTATTGATCCATCTGGTTTACTCGACTATTGATTCATCTGCTTTATACAACTATTGATCCGTCTGGTTTACACAACTATTGATCAGTCTGGTTACACGACTATTGATCCGTCTGCATTATACACGACTACTGATCTGTCTGGTTTACACGACTATTGATTCGTCTGCTTTACACGACTATTGATCCATCTGGTTTACACGACTATTGATTCGTCTGCTTTATACGACTATTGATCCGTCTGGTTTACACGACTATTGATCAGTCTGATTTACATGACTATTGATCCGTCTGGTTTACACGACTATTGATTCATCTGGTTTACACGACTATTGATCCGTCTGGTTTACACGACTTTTGATCCGTCTGGTTTACACAACTATTGATTCATCTGGTTTACACGACTATTGATCCGTCTGGTTTACACGACTATTGATTCATCTGCTTTATACAACTATTGATCCGTCTGGTTTACACGACTATTGATCAGTCTGGTTACACGACTATTGATCCGTCTGCATTATAAACGACTACTGATCTGTCTGGTTTACACGACTATTGATCCATCTGGTTTACACGACTATTGATCCATCTGGTTTACACGACTATTGATCCATCTGGTTTACACGACTATTGATCCGTCTGGTTTACACGACTATTGATCCGTCTGGTTTACACGACTATTGATCCATCTGGTTTACACGACTATTGATTCATCTGGTTTACACGACTATTGATCCATCTGGTTTACTCGACTATTGATTCATCTGCTTTATACGACTACTGATCCGTCTGGTTTACACGACTATTGATTCATCTGGTTTACTCGACTATTGATTCGTCTGCTTTATACGACTATTGATCCATCTGGTTTACACGACTATTGATCCATCTGGTTTACACGACTATTGATCCATCTGGTTTACACGACTATTGATCCATCTGGTTTACTCGACTATTGATCCATCTGCTTTATACAACTATTGATCCGTCTGGTTTACACAACTATTGATCAGTCTGGTTACACGACTATTGATCCGTCTGCATTATACACGACTACTGATCTGTCTGGTTTACACGACTATTGATTCGTCTGCTTTACACGACTATTGATCCATCTGGTTTACACGACTATTGATTCGTCTGCTTTATACGACTATTGATCCGTCTGGTTTACACGACTATTGATCAGTCTGATTTACACGACTATTGATCCGTCTGGTTTACACGACTATTGATTCATCTGGTTTACACGACTATTGATCCGTCTGGTTTACACGACTTTTGATCCGTCTGGTTTACACAACTATTGATTCATCTGGTTTACACGACTATTCATCCGTCTGGTTTACACGACTATTGATTCATCTGCTTTATACGACTATTGATCCGTCTGGTTTACACGACTATTGATTCATCTGGTTTACTCGACTATTGATCCGTCTGGTTTACACGACTATTGATTATCTGCTTTATACGACTATTGATCCGTCTGGTATACACGACTATTGATCAGTCTGGTTACACGACTATTGATCCGTCTGCATTATACACGACTACTAATCTGTCTGGTTTACATGACTATTGATCCGTCTGGTTTACACGACAACTGATCCGTCTGGTTTACACGACTATTGATGATCCGTCTGGTTTACACGACTATTGATCAGTCTGGTTTACGCGACTATTGATCCGTCTGGTTTATGCGACTATTGATGATCCGTCTGGTTTACACGACTATTGATCAGTCTGGTTTACGCGACTATTGATCCGTCTGGTTTATGCGACTATTGATTCTTCTGGTTTACACGATTATTTATCCTTCTGGTTTACAGAACTATTTGCAAATTGGTTTTTTTTCTCTTACAATTTCATTTGAATTCACAGCTGACAAATTTATATTCTTGTCTGTTTGCAAATTCATAATGTGCAGTATTACTGAAAACACTCAAATACTACCAAAGCATGTTTCAAAATTGAACAATACAAACTAATTCATTTATAAAGTCACAACCGAATAATGACTGCTTCGTGGTAGCTGTAGTAAGTTGGACTAATTTGAACATCAATACAATCTATATTTCTCACATAAACATGGTCAAGTAAAGTGCCTTTTTCAGTTGTTGCATCACTTACACACTGAACATATCCATGATTTTGCATCAACTTCTTCACACAAGATTCTTTTTTCATGATATCTTCATTAAAATCACCCATAACGATGCACTTGTTTGAAATCTTGTGTATCTCATTCAGCAACATTTGAAGCACCTTTACAAATTCCTTTAATGTATATGACGGCGGTCGGTAAACTATAACAACAACTACTGGTAATGACTCGTTTGAAATTACATGGTACTGAAATGCGATGTATTCAAGATTGTTAATTGGCAAATTCATCCTACTGAACACTCTGTCCTTTTTGCCACACACAGCTACACCGCCATGACACTGTTCTGTCAACATACATGCCACATGACTGGAGTTATCATAAGACATACTTCTTGGCTGATGATACCATTTATAATCACTCATATCCATATCACACTCAAAGTTTCTGTCAGTCCATGTTTCTGTCAGGCAAATGAAATCACACGACAACATTTCATTGTTAGTTCTTAAATCCATTAAATGTGCCTGGAGTCCTTGAATATTATGCATTGCAATGCTTGTGCTAAAACATTCAGGTAAATCACCCTTGATTTCATTTTCATCATCTACTTTATTGCTTCCCTTTTTATCAGACTCCTCAATATACGATGCCATTTTAGTCATTGCTTCAGCTACTGCCTCATTACAATAAATGTACTTCTCGTCAAACCCTTTTATCACAAGACCATTCAGTGAAACAACTCTACTCAAACTAACATAAGCTTGTCCTGCTGAAAATGTACGGTTCAAACTTACAACTGCCTTTTCCAAACTCATACCCTGAACCTTGTGAGCTGTACATGCCCAAGCTAACTTGAGTGGAAACTGATGTCGGACACATTGTTTATTCAAGTTTTCTTCTACCATTTCAATACCAACGGCATCTCTATCATTATTACGGGAAGTTTGTTTCAATTTTGATCCAACATTCTCATTGTCAAATTTTACTTTGATCAACTTAGGTGACTGCTCACGATTATTAGCTAATATAACAATTTCATTTACAGTTCCAAATACTCCATTAACAAGTCCATCAGATACATCAAGATTCCTTGTAAGCATGACTCTAGCACCAACACCAAGCCACAGACAATCAGGTAAATTAGTCATTGAGGATTTCTTGACTGATTTCACTACTGATATCATTTTTCCACTTTTTGCATCTTTCTGGAAATC